TTGTTTGTTCTGCAAAGAAGGGTGCCCGGCGGTAACACAGGAGCAGGTGGTGAAGCGCTGGTGAGGTCAGTAGGTGGAAGTTCGGCGGTTGAGTACCCCGTTTGTGTGGAGATGGAGGTTGTTTCTGGCGCAGATGGAGGGGAGAAATTGGTTTGGAGAACGGCGTGCGACTCACGATTCGTGGATGGCGAGAAGGGGGCGGAGGAGTTGCTGGAGAGATTGGATAAGGTGTTGAGGTATTTGGTTGAGAGTGGGGAGAAGAACGTGTTGGAATTTGAAGGGGGCAAGATGAGTGTTTGTGGGTTGGACGGTTTTACTCCGTCGACTGATGATGACACCGTTGCGGTTGATGGCAAGGATTTAGTAGAGGATGCAGATGTTGGTGGAGAGTGGTCGGAACTGGAGGAGAAAATCAGGTCTGTCCTTGCAGAAGTTGCTGGCCTGGAGGTATCTACGGTCCAGAAGAGCAACAATATCTACCACCTGGGCCTGGACTCCATCTCCGCCATCAAGGTCGTTTCTCTCCTACGGAAACAGGGGGTATCGATCCCGCTCCGCCAGCTGTTGACGGCGAAGAGTGTCCCCGCCATGGCTCAGGCTGCTACTGTGGCCGGAGAGCAGCCTGCAGCGAGGTCAACCGAAGCTCCGGCTCCGAATGACACTGGAAATGGTATTAACACTGTCAACGAGACCTCTCTGCCTCCCAAGCATATCGACGAAAAGCACATCACCGCCCTATTCTCTCAAGCCGATATCATTCCCTCCTCTGCTGGGCCGGTAATCAACAATATCGAGGCCGTCCTCCCTGCCACGGCCATGCAAGTCCACATGCTCTCCGTCTGGCAAAACACCCAAGGCGATGTCTTCCACGCGACCTTCACATATCGTCTCACCGGCAACATCAGCAAGTCCTCTCTCTCGGAGGCTTGGAAGTCTGTAGTTGCCGAGTTTCCCATTCTGCGGACCATCTTCTTAGCAAATGGCCAGCCTGAAAAGCCGGTAGTGCAGGTCATTCTCAGGCCTGATGCGCTGGTGGACAACCCAGCTGAGGATATCGATCCAAAGCAGTGGTCAAGTCTGTCAAGAAAGGGTCAAGGTGGATTAGTCCAACCGTTGAACTCCATGGGTGGTCAACAGGCTGACAACGGGGATTGGATCTTGAGCTTCACGATCCATCATGCTTTGTACGATGCGATAAGCTTGCCAATGATGGTTAACCGGCTCGCCACCTTGTGCGCCGGCGCCAGCATCAGTGGAGAGGCGGATGCTTCCAAGTCGCTTGAGGTCTGGAAGGAGTATAGCAGACAGCAGACACATCAAAGTGCGAGGGCGAAGCAGTTCTGGACGGAATACCTTGCTGGCGCGAAGTCGACACCTGTTGACCTCAACCTGGACACTTCGGCAACGAGTTCAACGACAGGATCAGAGTCGACCACAGCAGCATCAGCTCTAGAAAAGGTAGAAGAAGCACCATCACCGCAATCCACCTGGCTACCCGACTTCCTCCGACCTCTTGTAGACGGACTCTCTCGTTTCCTGCCAGGAGCCGAATGGCAACCAGCACCAGCTCCAAAGCATCAGTCCCGACCCTCGCGGCGCGTTTCTCTAGTCCAGCGCAATGCCATTGCGGACGTCTCCAGGATCAAGAAGCTGTGTGCCGCGGCAGGGGTCTCAATCCAAGCCCTCTTCTTCGCTGCTTACGCAAGTTTCGTCTCGGAAACTATTCAGGCCAAATCCCGAGACGTGGTCTTTGGAGTTTACCTTGCCAACCGCTCTTCCGACCTCTCTGAAATCCCATATCCCACTCTCTGCCTTGTGCCGTTGCGCGTTCGAGTCCAAGAAAGCCTGGTGGACATGGCCAAGCGGATTCAAGAAGATCTGTACAAGATCTCTGATCCTGAACACGTTGGTGCGGGACTCTGGGAGATCAAGGAGTGGACTGGAGTGGTGGTGGATGGGTTTGTCAACTTTTTGAGTGTGCCTGTGTCTTCTTCCAACTTTGATTTCAACGGGGCTGTGAGGATGGAACTGGTGAGCGAGGAGGAAGTGAAGGTGATGGGAGAGGCCAAACACCAGCAGGAGTTTTCTGTGCCTAAGGAGCTCGAGAACAACGCGGTTAGGAATGCGTATCCGGTGAGTTTGATCAAGTCGGTTTTTCTCAGACCGACGGCTTATGCTAACAATATGATACAGGATACAATCGATGTGGAGGTTGCCGTCGAGGGCGACGCAGTTACGATTGGCGTGTTTGGGTCGAAATATAAGCTCGGGCTGGATGGTGCTCGGTTTGTGGTTGGAGAGATGACCAAGGCGTTGACGGCATTGTAAGGGGTCTCGGGATCGTGTTCTCGTTTACTTGTATTTTGGTAGCAATTACGGCGTCGCGGGATATTCGTTCGTATACGTTCGTTGCATTATGCATTACAATCTAGATACGATAGAGATATGTTTCTCGTTCATTGTTTCTGCTTGTCCTTCTTCCACGTCCAATCCGCATCTGTTGTCGCCAAAAAGTTAGCGTATATCCGAGAAAAGAAGAAGGAGAGAAAGAGGACCACAGAATGTCAAGATCACGAGGAACAAAAAAAAAAAAAAAAAAAAAAAACTGACCAGGATGCATCTCGGGCACTTCAATATCCTTTCTACCCTCTCTCTTAGCCCTCCAGTCCGCTCCTGGGAATCGCTGGTCTCTCTCATCCAGCACCTTTTCCATGTCCACGGGGAACTGGCTCTCGTCGGTAAAGCTCGTCATCAACTGCGGCTCCCCGAGGGGCAACTTATCGCCCCTATCCACCTGCCACAAGTGATAGATCTTGCCATAGAGGGTAACCACCTTTTCCATCTCCGTCTTCTCCGCCTTCTCCCAGGCCGCCTGCGGCATCAGCCCGGGAGGCTTGGGCATGATCAACATGCCGCTCTTGACCTCAAACACATGGGTATGCCAGTACCTCCTCTCTTGTTGGGGAAGCGTCTCGTACAGCTTGGGGGTGATCATGTACTCGATGCCCAGGATGCGGGCGCCCGGGTTGGGTGAATCGTAGAGAATGCATTGTCGCACGTCCTCGGTCAGGTGGGCGCAGTAGTGGTTGGCTTCGACGAAGCGGGTGGGGTCCGAGGCGTACACGTGGAAGGCGTTGAGGTGGGCGCAGATGGATTTGACGGGGCTGAAGTCCTGAGCGAGGGAGGCGCCGGTTTCGAGGGCGGAGGAGAGGGTGGTTTTGGGAGAGCCGGGGATGGAGGGGTTGGAGGGGTCGTGGCAGGCGAGCGAGGGAGTGGGCACGTCTTCTCGGGTGTCGCTGTATTTGGTGGAGGTGGTGTTGTTGTTTGACATTGTGGGTGATGGTGACTAGAGGTAGGTAAGGGAAGTATACTGTAGGTACCTGGATTTTAATCTTGGGGGACGGAAAGAGAAAGAGTTCTTTCGTCAACTGTGTGTATTCAGGACTCAAGAAAAGAGTGACAACCGAAATGGTACAAGTAGTAATAGGACAATACCTATGATCAAGAAGCTCTTTCCCCAAGCTCTTTGGTGACGTCACGATGGTGATTGAGAACCTTAATGCCCCGCGGGTTGCACGCCGTTGCCTGCCGCGAGGAAGCTAAGGTAGTGTGTAAGTGATTGATAGTATACTTGAGCCACACCCACATGACTAACAGAATAGCTCCACAAACACTAGTTGAACTGTTAGTGCTCTTTGCTCCGTCACGCAAGCCTCTAACAGTAACATCAGTCCTTTGCTGCTGAAGGTCATTTTACACGTTCGTTACCCGACACTTTTACAGGCCACTCTTAGGTGGACTCAGCCAATGCTCCTGATCACCACAACACCATGAACATGGATCTCCATGCTACACTAGTGTTTGCGCAAACTGATTCAAGGGACGGCCCCCTTCCGTGCCGGTCCGCCCAGTTTCGCCCCGGTCCGCCCCGGATTGGCGGTGGAGACGGCGGGGCTCTTTTGATTGACTTGAACATGGCCGGGCTGACTGGCTTCGTCTGCCTGTTATCTTTGGCTCCTGGCTGCTTCCTGTTGTTGTAAGCTTCGACTACGGGAGGGGTAATTTCAATTTTCATGTTGTCAAACGTAAACAAATCAGTTTGGTGAGTGTAACCCCCTCCCTCTTTGGCCACGCAGGCAACAAGGCGCAGCAGCACCTGAAGAAGAGGAGATAGGCCAACTCAACGTGATGAACTTGGTCAAGATCAATGTGGTCTAGGTTCAGAAACCACCTTGGACTTGCATATACATTGTGGCGATGCAGGTCAAAGGGGCTGACTGACGAAAAAGACAGCCGGGGATACCTACAGGTATTTGTTGCGGAGGTCGCCCACGATGAAACAGGCCAAAAGAGCCACCCAGAACCTTCCTGCGAGATGGAAATCATTTCCCAAGAGGATGAAAGTGGAAAGAACTGACAATGATGGCCAGACGAGGTGGATGAGATGGAGCGCGGGCTGTCTGCCTGCCCGCTTCCATTACCTCCTGCGTACCTCTAAACTGCTGCAGGTCAAATTCGGGCCTGGCGCAGTGTTAGCGCAGTCCCGCTCCAGTGCCCTGCCTGCCTCCGCCATCTCCGCTGATCTCCAATCGAGTCCCCCATTTCGAGTGCAACCTCCCTCAACAATTTCTAGAATTTCCATCACCACCATTGGTGGCCTTGTCCGCACTTTTCTCGACCCTCGTCGGGTACACACACGACATGGACCCTGACTCGACCACCCCGACCACCCCCATCGCCCCGTCCGGCCCTAGCGAATCCGCCCAACATCACCAATTCCAAACTTCCTTCTTGCAGCATGTCGCAACCAAAATGGTTGTTTACCGTCGCACACACGGTGGCGGCGGCAGAGCCTCCTTGGATCGAGGTAGTATTCGAGGTCCAAGCTATGTATGTTGTTGTCACAACTGATGTTGCTGCGCCCCTTCTCGTAAACCTCGTCTGTCTGCTACGAATTCAATACTTATCATCTCTTTTTCTTGCTCCAGGTTATGTCTTTACATAGATAGAGCCCCATCCTCTTCCGTCGAACAGCTTTACGAACCTACAACACCACCATCACGATCACAAACACAGTCATACCCACACATGGGCCACTACTACTACAACGCTTGAGAAACCCAAACGACATTCAATCACACACCCATGCCCTTTCCCGACTCGACTCGTCCATAACGGCCTCTTTCCGTTCCTATCTCTGGGGATCGTCCCCTAGATCGTCAACATGAGCAGCAGCGATGACAAAGTCGAGACCGCCGCCCTCGTCATCTCACTCGTGGCATTGATAGGAACATTCCTACAGGTCGTCCAGCAATACCTTGCATCTGCTACGGGTTACGCCAACTGCCGCAAAAGTCTCAAGGGCGGCTGGTATGATACGGTACACCGAAAGTTACAGCTCAAAGAGCTCCGTTTCGAGGTCCAGTTTGAGACTCCCGTCATATTCGTTTGTCCGCAAACTAATGACCGCGGCCCTATGGATAAGCCTGAATTGGGTCTCAAGGTTCCTATCAGTTTTCTCGATGGCACCAAGGACAGCATGAAGAAGGCCCGGCTCTTGACACAAGAGGAGCAGAACGCACAACAGCGCGACGCCCTTCAACACAGCCGTATTCATACGGCCGATAATGAAAAGGCCACCTGGCTCACCCTGTTGGAAGAAATTCAGTCCATGGAACGAGCAAACATGAATTGGGTCACAGAGCATCGCCAGAAATCCGGCCCCGGTGCCGTAGCAGGCTTCAAAGAGCACACCTTGGTTGTTGCCCTTCAACCCAAGCCTCGAAGCTGGGACAACATGCCTGCCGGCGTCAAGAAGCCGTACGCTACCACCACAATATGCCACATAGTCGAGATCGCATCCATGCTGGGTATCTACTGGAAGGAGTTTGATCGATCGCGCGACAAGTATCGCGCCGAAGGCAACGGTTTCATGCTCACTGGCAGCACGGTACCCGATCTCGGCCTCACCTTCACCTTCCAGATATGTGGAAAAGCCCGCTTCCAGGAGAACAGAATCATACCTCTTGATGAAATCAAGGAGCTGTGCTTCGGCTACGTTCGCACCATCTTCTACACGGCCAAGGACAACCGCAGGCTTGGTGCTAAAGATGACAACGAGCTCCAGTTTGGCAGTATGCGCGAGATTGCCGAGACCATGGTTCAGCTCGAATGCAACACTAGCACAGCCAATTACTTCAAGACAAAGGACGCTAGACACCAACATCTGTTCGCAGGTAAGTCAGATAAAGTGCCCTTATGAAGCGACACTCAACTGACAAGCCACATCGGATAGTTCCCTTTGAAATCATCGGCATGCTTGGACAATCCCTGTACATGAAAAACAGTTACCACCGCATGCTTCCGAACCCGACACCGTATCACTGGGATAGGCGCTTCTTTGATCTCCCAAGGCTCATCAAAGAGTTCTCAACGAGGTTTGACAAGGAAAAATACATGACGCCCTCTCCGGACACTCCTGATCTGAAAAAGCTTATCAGTCAAGTCCTCGAACAGCTGGAAACCGATAGAAGGGACGTCGCAACAAGACAGAAGGAGAGGGATACGGAAATTGCCGCTGAAGAAGAAAAGAAGAAGAAAGACAAAGAGGACAAAGAAAACGAAGGGCACGAGAAGAAGAAGGATGTAGAGATCTCAAGTGACGTACCATCTGAAGGTGGAGTCATTGGTCCGCTCAAGCGATCGCTAACAAGGAAACGAACACGACCAAGTTGGTTGATTGAATACAAAGCAAGCAGTCCTCCAAAAGCGGAAGAACGGCCCAAAAAGGACTACACACCCATTTTGCCTGGCTACAACCTTCCTCTTCTCACTTGTCTACACGACGCGATTCAGGAGTGCGACAAATACCTGAAGACTCGTGAGCGCGATCTTCTCACCATGGTTGTTCGCGAGCACATCCAAGAGGTACTCAGGATGATCAATGAACCCGAGCCGGAGGAGAGTACGAAGTCAACCACAACGGGCGACACAGGAGATGACAGCTCCCAGAAAGCAGGGAAGACGGTTACGGCCTTCTTCGACGTACTCAGCGCCGCCAACCCAGAAGACAGGCAGGGCATTTTCATGAAAGTCTACTTTGAGCATGTCCTTCCTTGTGTTAGCGATCGTGCGGTCAAAGCGTACGATAAGCGCAAGCGCATGAAGAACATAAATCACAGATCGTATACCTTGGCACAGCAGACCCAAAACTCAGACATCAGTGGATTGGAAATGGCCCCGGCAGGTCCTGATTCTACTGCCACTACTTCGACACCTAGTACGTCTACAGTTGGGCAATCCCCAGTGTTGCCCACAACACCTGCCCTGGCCTCTAAGAAGCTCATCGAAGCCCAGGCCATCTGGTGCACTCTCATTTTCAGGATGCTGTGCTGGCTTCAGTTGCACGACTTCGATAAGCAGGACATACAGTTTCCCAAGAGCGAGCTCAGGGGCAATCGCCTTCCTGTTTACATCTCCTAGGTGGATCATGGCGACAATTTTACGGCGGCTTTTTTCCCGTCTTAGGTACCCACTGAATTTTGATTTCCCTGGAGTCCTGTTTTTGGTTCTTTGGTCACATCATCACCTAGATTTTTGCGAACAGCATGGTACTCACAATCTTGGACACTCCTTAGCATGATAGATGGGGTATTGGATAACCTGATCGATATATTGGCTTCAAGCGCGTTGTTGTCACTTGGTCGTTTTACCCGTATTGTTGTTTTGTTGCTTAGCGTAAGCCACACGTCTAACAAATTCTTGATCCTTTACGCTCATGACACTTTCATCATTGCCGATATTCTTGTGGTTTCGCCGCTTGTACTCCCTTGAGCATCAATACGATCGCACGAAGAAGATTTTCGAGCTTCATCCACAAGACCAGTCACCCACCGCACGGACCACCATCCATCACGATGGCTCAGACGGGCACCCACACCCACACCCACACAAACCAAATTCGGACTGCTGTCGTGTCTCCAATTGCAAGGGCAAATTTTGCGAGGATGGTAACGCCGGAATTGAATTGGTTCTCTGCCCTGTCGTTTCTTATTTTTGCTTGACAATGGCGCTGCGACTCACAAGAACAAGTGCAAACCGACACTTTGCATGGACGAGACAGTCTCACAAACTCAAGAGACGAGACAAGAGCAGGTGGGTGAATGAGGGGAACACAACTGTGGATGCAAGCACTCAACGCGACCTCAATCCAACAACGACGACTCTCGCGAGATTTGCAAGCCCACGGGGTGCGAGTGGGGTAGTAGATTGATGATTTGGCATGGCCCTAATGCAAGCTCTTTGAACCAGTCCAACCACTGACGAACCGTTCTCACGGTCTCGAGAGCAAGGCCGACGAGGTGGTTGGTGGGTTTGCATGTCTCTGCTTGTCTATCTTGCAGAGCGCCAGTGTTCGTTTCCGTTCCGCCCGGGCTTTGTACGGGGTGCAGGCGTTGTTAGCAGGCGTTATTCGTAACACGACAGATATTTGACGGAATCAACGGAGTAACTGGCGCCGATGCTGTTTCACTCATGGAGTTGAGGAAGGTCAATGATCTTCTCTTGTTCATTCACATTATCCTCGCTGGATTGCGAGTTGGGTGTTTCGACTCACCTTGTTCACCTGCCTGGCAGTGCGGGCGTCTGCGGGTGTTCCTGACCTGGACCGAGCGAGACCAGACGAACGATGGAGACTGGAACACTGGGACTCGGTCGATAGCCGACCTCACTGTGATTGGACACACCAAAAGTGGCTACGGACGCTGCTGAAGTGATTCCACACATACACTTTCGAGATTACACTAGATTGGTTGATCAGGGGTTGAGTGCGCCACAAACTAGGTGAAGCGCCTCGTTCCAGACTTTCCAAGCAAGCCAAGCGAACCGCCGCCGGCTGATGCCCGGGGGAGGTAGCCGAATGAGCACGGGCCATCATGCTCACCAAACATGGAATCGAGAGCGGAGAGACGAGCGGTGAAGAGATCCACAAACATTCTCTCTAGGTGGGGGTGGGGTGAAGAGAGTGAGAGTTTCATGTTGTTCCCCGATCCTAGGGAGTCTTGTCATCGGATCAAAGACCCTTCTCTACGGTGATATTTCCAGCTTTTCGAATGACAAGGGGAGAGGGGAAGAGGTTGAGAAGATGACTTGAGGTTCGAGAAGTTCTCAAATGTGACAAACTGCAAGGAAGCCCGACTTCTGACATCTTGGCTACATCTTGCCCAATCAATGGTAACGTCTAATCAGTGACATTCAACATTGACTGGTCAAGTGTCGTCAGCTTCCAAGTGGCAGCAAGCAGCCCTGAAAATGCTACGCATCTTCCGCCATTCCCGCTGCTTTGCTTGCGTTGATTGCTTGCGTTGGTTATGCTAGGCATGCTGGCTGGCTGTCGATGTTCTCGTCTCCGAAACGGGGAAACGTGGGAGGGCTTGCAAGGACAAGACTTGCTCGAAGCATGAAGCATGAATCGATACAAGGTACCTCCCAGTGGAGGAGGTCTGGTTCCGATTCTCATTCCCACCACATCATTTCCCCTCATCCCACTCCCTGCTTCTGTACTTTCCGGTCTGTCTCTTCGCCAGTAAGAAAAGTGAAAGAGAAAAGACGGTGACTTACATTTGACTGGACTGACTTTGTAGTGTACGGACAAAACCTACGAGGGAGCAAGGGCTTGTCATATAGCATGATGAATTAACGAATGGCAATACCCCCGGCCCTGGCGTATTGAACCTGAACCTTACTTACTCTGACTCTGTTCTTGCTTGGTTTTTGCTTTTGTTTCTACATACTTCTCGTCTTTCTTCTCTTTCATCTCACATCTTGCTGGACTTTTCACATTCAAATCTGTTGCATACGACCGTCCTAAGATCGAAACATACAACCTAGATCCCGGCTGCCTCAGTTGATCTGATCGGAGGTCAGCCCAGAGAGTGGAACATCAAGAGTCCTGGAGGAGAGAAGAGTGGTGCTGTATCCACACTTTCCTTCCCGGGGGGCTGGCACCGACAAGCGAAGAGAAGCGAAGCGCGCGATCCTTTGACTAAAACCACTTTAACTCTTGCATCTTTCTTCATTGACTCACCGAAACCATATTCCCATACATTAGGTTTGTTTGGTTACTCGATTCTTCGTTGCTCTTTCGTCAGCTAGGCACACCTATACCCCTCACATACAAACACCGGCGCCGAAAGACCCGCCAGCGCCAGCCACGATCGAATCAACCACAGGCTGGGAATAACACTCGATACCTAACTCCAGGCGTGGTACCCCGCTATTCACAACGCCTACAGCACCTTCTGACCCTTTTCAGGTCCAACATATCAACACTACAACACAAAAAAAACGATACATATCAACCGCCAAGATGCCAGGCGAAGAGATTATCACCATTGTCAACAATTCGGGCAAGATCATCAGCACGGTAAGGACTCCCCTGTCTGTCTTTTGGGCAGACCGTTGACATCCGTGTCACCCACCTTGTCTCACCTGCCAATTTGACAGTAACTAACATCTCCGATATAGGGGAGGCAGCTGATGGGCATCTTCAAAGATGCTAAAGCTACATACCGTGAGAGGAAAGAAGCCGCAAGGGCGGAGCGCGACTTCCAGAACGGCAGCTATTCCTCCGGCCGATCACGGGGAGAAGTCCACATCACAGTTCCTCGTGGCCGACAATACGATGAATACGACTCCCCGGGTCCCATCAAGACGCTCGATGGCGGCAGCATTAGGGATCGTAAGCTTATCGGCAACAGCAGTGGGCGCCGCAAATCCCACGATGATGACACCCGTTCCTTCGCTTCTCGCTACACCTCTACTTCGCGCAGCAAGTCCCACCGCAAGCGATCATCGTCTCAAGCGCCTAATCCCTCGACAGCCCTAACAGAGGGAAATCTGAAAACGTACACGGAAATATCGGCAACGGCGCCGTCAAAGCCACCAAAGGGGTACAGCAAAGACCTAGAACTCGCCAGGCGACCAAGTCTGAACCACGCCAACACCATGCCTGCCAGCCCGACCTTCGACGTGGCCGCTTCGGGCAGTCGTAGTCGCAACCCCTTTCACCGTCGCCAAACCGAAACCCCATCCTCGTCCAAGAACAAGAACAGAGACCGGGACCAAGACCTAGCCTACGGCGACCTTCCTCCTGACCTTCACCTGCGCGACGACCTCAACCGCGGCCGTCACCGCTCCTCCCATGACAGCATGAATCACTCCTACCCCGTCCCGCCTCAGGGCATCCCCACGTTCGCCCCCGACTTCGCGCCCCAGGAACCCGAACAGAAGGAAGCGCTGGATCTCATCTCCCGCATCGAATCCTTCCTCCTCGAAGCACACTGCGTGCAGGCTTCAGCGTCGTGCATAATTGAAAATCTGCAGCAGAACCCGGAAGCCGCGGCGGCTGTGGCGCTGTCGCTGGCCGAGCTTAGTGCGATGATTGGGAAGATGTCACCTGCCTTCTTGGCATTCTTGAAGGGTGGCAGTCCGGCCATTTACGCCTTGCTTTGCTCGCCGCAGTTCTTGATTGGTACCGGCATTGCGGCCGGAGTGATGGTGGTCATGTTTGGCGGGTGGAAGATCATCAGGAAGATCACGCAGGGGAATGCGAAGCAGAAGGAAGCGGCGGTGGAGATGAATGCGGTTTCTGGGAATGGGACTGCTATGGGTGCTATGGGATTTGATGCGGGGGCAAGGGCAGGTGCTGCTGCGGGAGGGCATGAGGATGCGTTGGTGTTGGATGAGGAGTTGAGCACGATTGAGTGCTGGAGACGCGGGATTGTGGTGACGAGTGAGGAGGAGGCGGAGGTGGAGTTGAGGAGTCCGGAGGCGGATAAGGCGTTGAAACAGAAGTATAAGGAGGAGGTGGTGGAGGTAAGTCCAGATGATTCGGTTTCTCAGGTGGGATTGGCGAGACGCACGACGGTGAAGAAGGAGCATAAGCCGAGTGGGTTGAGGGAGAGGTTGAGGGAGGCTGTTGGTGGACATTCTGATAAGGAACGGGATGGAAAGGACAAGGAGAGGGAGAGAGACAGCAAAGACAAGACCAGCAGCAGCAGACGCCACCGCGACGATCTCGACGTTCCCGACCGCAAATCCTCGCGCGACAAGAAGGATAAAGCAACAAGCGAAGTCGGCGCCTCCTCTCAAGTCTCCTATCGCAGCTCTCGCTCTCACCGCACAAGCGCTCGCAGCGAAGCTGGCGGCGGCTCCTTATCGCGTTCGAAACTGGACAGAGAGAGAGAGAAGGACACCAAGGATAGAGAGCGAAAGTCGGCCTCGAGAGTCGGCACCAGCAGCAGCAAGGAGGCGAGTCTGGATGATGGAGACAGCGGAAAGAAGAAGGGCAACATGATTAAGTCGTTGTTCAAGAAGATGAAGGACAAGGAGGATGAGAAGATTGCCACCAAGGAGAAGGAGGAGAGGCGCGAGAGAGATGGGAAGGATAAGGAACGGGAGAGACGGACCTCCAAGGAGGGACATGGAGAGCGCCATGTGAGAAGGGCGGCGAGTGTCGCGAACTAAGGCGTAGGTCATGATGGGATGAGGAACGATATGAGATGAACACGGATATGATCATACACGATACATTGAAGAGATGGAATTTTGGCATTTTTTGGCTGGCAAGAGGTGGGACTTGGGATTACGGGATGGGAAGGGATCAATGGGCTTGGACATCGGGATACAGGGCAGACGCCACCGGAGCAATCAACAACATGTGCTGGACACGCAGCCGCGGCGGAATTTTAACAGAACATGATGGGGCAGGAACTACGGCGTATGAGGTGGTTTTGTTGGTGTTGGTTTCCTTCTTTTATTGTCTTCTCACAGATTGGATAAGTCCTTGTCATTTTTTGGTCGATACCTATCGCACTGGTTGATTTCCTTTCTTCTTTCCCTCTTCATCATACAAATGAACACAACCAGTGATCCACACACCGCAGAATTCAGATGTGATCTATTTGCACCTTGTTGTTGTCGAGCGTGCTTTGTCTGGTGCACAGGGAAACAATGAAGGGGAGGAGATGAGACGCTCAAGAACACCGAAATCCCATGTCAAAAGCACGAAGAATCACCATGACACCCAGTTTCCCGGCCAAAATACGACATCCTCTTCCATCAATGCGCATACATTTCCATCCGAACGTCTGCAGCAAAAGTCAGACCACACGAATCGGATGGAGAGGTATGCTATTACAAAAATTTCATGGCTCTGACGAAACCAATATGCAAAGATCCAGCCCTGCAGCTGCACGGCTCCTGAACTTGCGTTTCTCACACCTTGACGCTCTTCATGGAGTCCTTACAACGATTTTTGCAAAGGAACGGTTATAAGCGACTCGATATCGAATATGGATGTGTCATCTTACGCCGCTCAGTTGGTGACTCGATGGTGGGAGTGCATCATGTATTGAGGCTGTTGGCTCAAATACATTTCGCCTCAGGCTTGCAGACCTTCTGGGTAATCCCTTTGGTTGGCCAAGCCTTGTAGGCACGGCTTCGGTTCCCGCTCCAGTCTGACCGCCACATAAACATCGTAAGTCTGTTGATACGTGACGACAGTAAAACCTTCACTCACCCATCTTACCACCAATCTTGTGGGTACCTAGATATTTATAGTCTGATTACTGGTCTATACTCGCATGGATGCCCCCTATCGATTGAGGCACCAGGCACCGCCGCATCCGCACCCTCCCAGTTACGCCTTCAAGCGCCCTCTTCCCAGCAACAGCGATGAACCCCGACAATCAAAGCAGCCTCCATGGCCCAGGGCTCGTATAGCTCGTATAAATTCCGGTTTGGGAGACGGAAATGGAGATGACGAGAGGACTGTGCTCCTGTGTCAGCGGTGCGTACTGCCGGCCATGCAGCTGCTGCAGAGACCTCCAGCTCGCACTCCCAGCCAGCCAGACCGACCCAGTCCACACATTGTTAGCGTGAATAAGGTAACTCTGCAGACCTTTTGCTCCTTATCAACACTCTCAAGCTTTGGTCCAACCCTAGGTACTGCCGTGCACACCCAGTACACCCGTGGCATCATCCTTGAATACCTCGACCTTCACAGTCCCTTCGGCCTCAACGTCAGGTGTACGAAGTCGTACATACCAGCATTACAGTGAGGGAAACCAAACTTTATGTTTCCGGCGTGCGAACGGTTTCGCCCTGTAACGACTTTACAGGGTAGAAACGAAAATAAAATGTCGAAGAAGGATTTTGGGCCTCGGATCCGTATTCCGGACTCCAGGATTGACGTACCGGACCAAACAAGCTATCGTTAGAATGAGCTGGAAATGACGATTCCAAAGGTACCAGCGGTTTTGTTACAGGATCCTCCGCGCGGCTCAAGCTGTCTATAAGAAAGGGAGGACCTTCAAGGCAAGAAAATGTAATTTCGCCAGAGACACTGACCCATATCTTTCCCAATCTACTTCTTTTCCACAAGTACACCATACCGTTCATTTTGTTTTTGGACGCTCATTCGAATATACCACCCGATTCTTCGTAAGGCGGTCATCCATAGAGCTGTATCCTCCGACTGTATCCCTTTGCCCCAATCTTTCGTTGAACACTACAACCTACATACTCTAGAGGTACTCATTCGTACATGACGCTGGAGGTGACCATGGCCCCCGCCACCTCTGAAAGACCAACAACGGCCCAAGTCTATGCCAACCTCCACGGCCTCAAACTGCACTTTCCCAGTCTCCAGTCAATTCTCTCCTCCTTTCCCACGGAGCTCAGCCCGCACTATGGCCGACTTCGTGAGATTGTGGAGAAAAACATTGATGACAGGATCGAGGAACCGGACATAAGGGCGAAAGCAAAGAAGATCAACATTGCTCTGCTCTGCGCATAGTGAGTGTACCCCCCTTTTTTTTCTTCCACCCGTCAACATCAATAAACCATTAGCGACGGACACCTCAGGGGGAAAAAATGGACACTGATAGACATGCAGTTGGTGGCCCCGTTCTTCACTTGAGCGGTTGGTGACGATGAGCTGGTTTGTCTTCTGGATCTTCGTATGGGATGATGAAGCCGAGGAATCATCAACTCAGGACCTGGACTTGGACTCGAAGACCACTTTGAGTGAAAGGGCATTGAGATACGTTGCCTTTCACTTGGGTCTTGATCCTCCATCCCCCCCACCTTCAGGCAACATTGCATGTGTTCTTCCTTCTTCTCCGCCGACCAGCCGCCGCCACCACCATCAATCAGACGACTCCTCCGACCCCGGTTCCCTCTTTCTCTCGTCCTCGTCGTCGAAGGAGCCGCCCCCGCCGACAAAGTACTCGGTCCTCTTCAAACCTGCGGCCGAGGGCTTCAAACAAGGCTGCACCCTCACTGAGCGAACAAGACTCTATTCGGAGATCCAACTTTACCTGCACTCCTCCGCGCTGGAAGTAGCCACCTACGCGGGCGGCAACGGCACAGTTCCTACCGAGAAAGAGTACTGGGTTTATAGGCGTGGCACGAATGGGATCGGATTCTTCTCTTGTCTGGGGGAGTTCATGACCGAGATCACGATTCCTCAATATCTGTTTCAAACAGAAGAGATGAAGACACTGTGGGAGGAGTTGGCCAAGAATGTTGTCATGTGAGTCTTTTTTTTTTTTTTTTTTTTTTTTTTTTTTTTTTTTTTTTTTTTTTTTTTTTTTTTTTTTTCTTCCCCGGCTTTCGTGCCGTCCTGCCCATTTCTCGGGGTGTTTGGTTT